AGAGAGAGAGAGAGAGAGAGAGAGAGAGAGAGAGAGAGAGACGATGATGAAAAATCCAGGTGTCGATGCTCGTTAGAGACGGACGTCTGTTCGATATCATGCCTCACGCGTGCCACGTCTTTTTCTGTCTCTTTCGTCCCTCATTGGGATTCGCTTTGGTTCAGCAGCGAGCGGTACTCATCGACAGAGAGAGGGGTTGAGGAGCACCCCAGTTGTCGCAAACGAGCTAACAGCGAGGGGAAGTTAATCCTCGCCAGCGGGGTCGAGATTGCCTAGAGCCCGAAGGATGCTCACGAAGAGAGGCGAGGGGGGGCACCGCATGATAAGCGCATGGGTCAGTGTAGACAGATAAACCAGGCCACGTGTACAGATGAAGCGATCCTATACAACCGCGAGCGTTCGCCGCGCACGCATCACATCGATTGCTGTTGTTGATGTTTGAGGCGTGATTTTCTCCGTCGCTTCCTCGTCTGCTGTGATAGGCAACCTGACCCCGAATCGATAACCATGTTGCATATCAGCCCCGGTACCCCCCCACAATTTTCCAATTACCGAAAGGATGCGATAGATGACACCCCTCTGCTAGACCGATTTTCGAAGCTTGATTGCTCGAAAACCAAGCTTAAGCTTGTGCCAATACCACAAATGGTGGTCGTGGAAACATCTCGTCGAGGGCTTTCCGTAGTAGACGCACCGGGCTCTCTCTGCACCCACTCAGTTGTGGAGCAACCGAGCTTTGGAGGTAGATCTATAGGGGGGGTGCCATCTCTTTCGGTCATACACGAGGCTATGGACCAACAGTGAACTGGACGTTCTTTTTGCTGTGGGGAGCCCTCAAACGGGATGTCGCTCGTGTCACGAGGGTTTTCGATGGGACGATGGAACGGTGACCCCTAAACCACGTTCGTGAGCTAGGAGGCATCCCCTGGTGCTCAGAACTCCGCCTTCTCTGTGGCTAATAATGTCTGGATTGTTTTCGAAGGTCGTTTTTGCTGTGCGCCCGTCGCCCTTGGTTTCCCGAAAATTGCCAAGATGTCTACATGTATTCTGGATATTACCGTTCGAAAAATAGAAGAGAAGGTGGACGCGGCGCGGCCGTTATGGCCGAGGTACAGTAGGTTGTTGTCTCGGGGGGGAAGAGAACAGACTGGGACATCCGAGTGAATACAAACCACAAAACAACCATGACCGCAGATTTTTTTCCCTACACGCGGAGATTGTTGGGAGGCCCAACGACCTCAAATAAGAAGAAGTGTCAAACCCTGAATGGTTCGCGCGAACACCAGCCCCATCACGTTTCTTACTGATTCACGTTGCTGGTCATGGCGGGGCGCTTCGAGATCCACCCTTCCTTCATTTCACGAAGCAAATGAATGTACACCAGAAAGAGCACAGCCACATTAGGCTATATGTCGTGTTTGTGGCCAGATGTAACGACGAGGAACAAACACACATACACACGGAGATCGGACGGATCAACCCTAAACTTGGACGGTCACACCCATCATGTTCCAAAAAAACAAACAAATAATACTCCCACGTACACGGGGAGACATACGGGTGCGTTTCACGCGAGTCTGCCATAAAGCTCACGCACGTCGCACCAAGGGCGGCGTTCCTCTCTTTCCTTGGCCAAAAAAATTGCGAAAAAAACAAAAACGGCCCGGACTAACACCGACTTGATCCACACATACACATTGAAGGCAAGACCTTACCAAACTGGCATCACATGCATATGTACATCCGAGAGGATAGAGTCAGCTAAGACAACCAGCTCCCCTGCGGTTTTCGAGCGGACGACAACATTCCGCAACGAACGGGTGGTGCGAAAATCTCCCAGGGGGCCTTCCGCAGCTCTGCCGCACGTGTCTAGCATACATAGCCACCGCCTTCTCGAAAAAGCAAGGCTATATGTAGGCCTCGTCACGCCCGTCTAAACCACTAGCAGAACACTTCGTCCCCCCCAGGCTCATCGTCCCTCTGCCCTCCCTCCCCTCCCTCTCCTTCCCTTCCACCGCTGGTGCCCCCGCCGAAGGGCCCCTGCTGGTCGAGCGCATCGTCGCTCAGTTCTCCCTCCCTCCCTCCCGCCGCCGCCGCCACCGCCGCCGTGGGCTTTCCTCCGGATAACCGATCTCGGCGACCCCCGCCACCGCCGCTTCCCCCGGACTTTTTCCTCCTTCTGCCCACCGCCACCGGGCCGCTCCCCATGGTGCCGAGCACTCTCGAGAAGGGCGAGGGCGAGGAGTCACGACCACCGCCGCCGCCGCGGCTTGAGTCCATCCCGCGACTGCTTCTGCGCCGCGACGAGCTAGCCGTCGCCGGTGACGTCGCCGCCGTCGCCCCGCTATTACTATCTCGCAGCCGCAAGGGGGAATCCGACTGATTCAACAGGGGTACCTCCATCGGTCCGACAGACGCCGGGGGCTTCCCGCTACCGCCACTGCCGCTGCGCCAGCCGCCATGGGAGCGGGAGGAACCGGACAGCCCGCCCGAGCTGTAGTTGTCCGCGGGGAACATCGCGCCCTCGTAGGTGTAGCCGTGGCCGCTGTCACCGACGATGCCGCCGCCAACCAAGCCGCCGTCGAAGTTACCGCCGAAGTCGCTGCCGCCGCGGCCGCCGCTCCTCCAGCCGAGCCCAGACGACGACGAGAAGAGTCCACCCGCGCCGAACCCCCCGCCCCCGCCCCCGCCGCCGCCGTGAACGCTGCCGCCCTCGCTTCCGTAGGCAGCGAGCTTCTCTCGCCTCCGCCACCGGTACAGGGCGCGGAGGCCCGCCACCGCCAGGCCCAGGGCGGCGAGGCCGACTGCGAGGTAGACGATGTACGCGCGGTCGGGGCCCCCCGGCGGCTGTTCAGGGCGCGGCGGGAGCGCCGGCGAGTACCGCACGAGACGCGCCGTCATGCCGCCGACGTGACCGCTCCCGTGCTCCTTCCTCATGCCGCCGCCGCCGCTGCTTGTTATTGCCGCCCGCTCCTTTTCCTCCTCCTCCTCCTCAGCCACCGACGTTACGTTCAGCGGCAGGCGGAGGTAGGCCGAGGAGTTGTGGTACAGGAAGGCGTTTTCCTGGCCGGCGAGGCAGTCCCCGAGGCCGAGCATGAGGGACACACCGCCCTCCCCGGCCCACCCGTCCCCACCGCCGCCATTGGAGGGGCAGGCTGGTCCCAAGTACGAGGAGTTGCCGCTGGCGGCCGCGGCCGCGAGGCTCCTCACGCAGTCCCCCGTGTCTCTGTAGTACTCCGCTATCTGATGGCGACGAGGGAGACGGGACGTGGGGAGGTGAAAGGCAAGCACCAACAACCGCACCACCGATGGACGAAGTCAACCGGGGTTATGGCGGGGCAGCACGTTATTCCTGGCGCTTTTTGGTGGAGCACGTGCGCGATTCAACAGTAGATTCATTGGCTTCCTCCCTCGATAAAGACGACCGTCCGTGCTGGACTGACTACTGCTCCTATTTTCACTGCAGAACCCCTCCATATACAGCAAAAATAGCGGTTGAATGTAAGCCCGAGCGCGAAAGCTGACGAGTGCTTCCAACAACGCCCACAAATAGGGACCAATCACCGCCCACGGCCCACCTCGCAACGGACCCTTCTCACTCCGCTGCTCCCCTCGAGAACGGTTCCCGGACGGGTCGGGTCATCCATGCGACGTCCTCACCTCTTCGTTGCCGTCGGCGTGGACAAGTTCCGCCGCATCGACACCGCCTTCCGGGAAGAGGCACATGACCGTCCGCTTGGGCTTGATGACCACCTCCTGGTCGAAAATGACGCCGTTCCTGTGACGAGCAGTGAGCGCATGTGCGCGCACACGAGAGAGAGAGAGAGAGAGAGAGAGAGAGAGAGAGAGAGAGAGAGAGAGAGAGAGNAGAGAGAGAGAGAGAGAGAGAGAGAGAGAGAGATTGACAAGACGATGGAAGCAAAAAGAAAAGAAAAAAGAAGAGGAAGACAAAAATTGTAAAGGGAGCAGCACCGTCGACGTCATAGTCCGTGGCCAAGCGGAGCCTACGAGCGACAGCACCAAACGTAACGCCAAACAGATTCAAATAATACGCCCCCCCTTCCTGTGGGAACGATGCTTCCGTCTTCTCGAGGACGCGTGGTGGTCAGTGGTCTGACACCTAAGGCATGGTAAAACATGATTGCCACCCCCCCCGGGATGGGAGCGGAGAGGTTGCCGAGAATAGTATGGGAGGCGAAGTGGGCAAACAAAAAGAGGGGTAGACAACCCACGGAATGGGTCACGGTTGTAGAGGACGTATGGAAGGGGCTCGATATCGACGAAGATGAAACGCTGGAAACGGAGGGTCTACAGGGGTTCAACGAGAAGATCTCTTCTGCTTGTGCCGAGAGAGAAGAACAGGATCTAAGGAAAGAAACCAAGGATAAGGAGGGTCTAGAAGTGTCGGAATGCTGAAAGAAGGAATAGGATTCAAGGATTACCTACATGGACCAATGGATGCAGGAACAAAGCTTAAGGTCAAATTCACGACCGGGGACATAGGCCTTCGACAACGTCGGCGAAGACAAAGGACGGTAGGTGACGAAGACGACAAGTTCACATGTGATTGCGGCTTCGAATGCGAAGACCGTGTTCATGTAGTCGCGGAATGTCCGTTGTACAAGAAGGAGAGGGAAGTGTACGTGACTGAGCTGGGAAAAATAGATGGGACGTACAGGGAGATGTTTGAGGCATGGAATAGAGAGGAAAGGACGGTAGCGATACTGGGGCATAGGAAGTGGTTTGAAAAGGCGACAAGGGATATCGGTAGGATAGACAGGCTAGGGAAGACATATTTGAGTCACCTTTGGCAAAGTAGAAAGGAACGGTTGGCCATCGGTGATCGGTCCTGTGGGAACAATGCTCCGTCCTCTCGAGGACGCGTGGTCAATGGTCTAACCGCTAAGGCATGCGAAACATAAGAGTACGCCCCCCCCCCACCCCCCCGTCCGCGGCGGCTCACTTCGCCAGACGATCGAAGGCCGCCCACACGAAGTCGTACGAATCCGCGGAGCCCCTGTGGGCGAAGTCTCCGTCTCCCCCCCTGTCACTGCTGCCGCCGCAGGCCGACAGCGGCTGGAAGGAGGGATTTTTTTCCCGGTAGATGCTGGACCACCCTGGGTCGCATTTGTTGGTTGTCCGCGACGAGCACGTAGAAGCACGTATTATAGCACAAACAAGAAAAGACGAGATAATGCAGTTGCTTGGAACAGGCTCGAGAGTCACTCTGGTGCAATCGGGAATGTGAGGGGGAAAGCCTGTGCTATGTAGCGACGCATTGCTTGTGTCTGATCTACCGCTGTACACAAATGGGCACAGCAACCACGCTCTCCCGCGCCCCGTTGAAACATCATTTTCAAGGTAATGGTAACGATTGGCCTTGCCAAGAAGCCCCCCCCCCCCGTGGAGGCCCGGCGTTCCCACCGAACGTGTCTATTTGACGTTCTTGCAACGAAACGAGCGACGCCAACCGAGCCCAAAAAAAAATCGCGCACCCGCGATGTCGTTGTACAGCAGGCCTGTGATCTTGGCGATGTAGTTGGCGGAAATCCACCTCTTCTCGTCGAAGCCCGACGACACCCGCACGACCGCGTCGTTGTTCCACGCCACCGGCGTGGTGCCGTTACCGCCGTTCTCAAGCCCTCGCCGGGCGCCCCCCCCACCGTCCTCCTCATCCTCCTCGCCAATGTGCTCGACCCACCCCACCCCCCCGCCGCCG